ATGTGTCTTTAAAGATATTTTAAATTTAGACTCAGATGTTGTATGTCTCAAGGGTTGGGGAAGAGAGTTCCAAACTGACGGAGCAAGGAAGGATGAGATCACTGATATAAGAGGGAGCTTTATTATTGGCATATTTATGATATAATATTGTAATTTTATATGGTATTCTAGCTGACAAAGAGAGCCAACACCTCGTTCTTAACATGGGGAGTACAGTGATTCCTCTTCTTTTTCTGTAGTACTAGCCTTGCAGCTTGATTTTGAAAATGTAACTTGTGAAGAGTGGTATTTGGTATGTTAGTTCATAAAGCACAGCAATGATCGATGCGTGAAAACAAAGATGACACGAGCGTTTTCAATGAGCCTTCATTCAAAAACAGATATATGACAAAAGAAAAAGTTTTAAGTGATCAGCAATGATGGGTTGGAGCTAAGTCAAGACATGAGTCCTGAGGGTTAACAACAATGGGATGGAGCTAAGTCAAGACATGAGTCCTGAGGGTTAACAACGATGGGATGGAGCTAAGTCAAGACATGAGTCCTGAAGGTTAACAACGTGGGGTCGGACCAAAGGTAAAGTTCTAAATAATCAACAATAAGTAGTAGTAGTATCGAGTTTTGCGGCGCTTGCAACTGCTAGATCAACAATAAGTAGTAGTATGAGTTTTACAGCGCTTGCAACTGCTAGATCAACAATAAGTAGTAGTAGTATAGAGTCTTACGGCGCTTGCAACTGCTAGATCAACAATAAGTAGTAGTAGTATAGAGTTTTACGGCGCTTGCAACTGCTAGATAAACGATAAGGGGTTGGAACTAAGTTAATAAGTCCTACTAAAGGGTCACCCAGAGGGGTTGGAGCTACGTCAAGGATTGTGGAGTCAAAGTAAAGTTCCAACAGGTTAACAAGAAGGGATCAGAAAAAAGTTCCAAAGCTTTTACAAAGAGGGGCTGGAGTAAATCTCCAACAAAAACATGAAGACCTGAGTAAATACACATTGGCTGTTGAACCATTTTTCTTACAGTAAACAAGCTTTTCATTGTGTTAAAAAAAATATTATGTAGCGCTATAAAGGCTTTCAATTTTGTTGAATCAGTGGACTTCAGACTTTTCACAACTCCAAAGTTCAAGTTAAGAAAATACTGGTGATATCAGAACG